GTCCGAGCACCCTGCTTTGTGGCAACTGCGTGCAGATGAGATGAGTTGGAAATGAAGCAGAGTAAAATGGTCTGGAAGCATTTTGGGTCACCCACAGGGCAGTGGGGCAGCCTGAGAGAAGCGACTGGTCATAGTGTAGTGAGGTAAAGTTATTTATTTATTTATTTGTTTATTTTCAAGTTCAATTTTCTTTTTATTGGCAGCTGGTTGGTTGCACACATTTGTCCCAGAGCAATTACAGGCAAGTTTTTGGCTTGAGAACTCCTCCTCAGCCTTGGTTTTGGGGAGTAAGGCTGCACAGAGGAGAGCTGGTGGAGAACAGTCGTTGAGCTTTAACTTCACATATGCAGTAATTTGCAGGAGTTCCTGTAGTTCAGCACCCAGGACTAGGGTGAGATCCAATTACTGTGAGTACATGTTACTTGCTATCATGATTTTGTAAGTGGCTGGGCGGTCAGAAGGAGAGCAGGATTTATATACAGAGCCTAAGCTGTACTGACTGAAGCTTTATCATAATGATTGCATATCTTTACAACCTCATCATATTCTGCATGAGGAATCTGACTGTACAGAAACTGGTGTCAAGTGCACTAGGTAAACAAGCTGAAAAAAGAAACATTTTCTCTAATCAGTTATTCTTTCAGTCATCTTGGATTTCATTTGTAACAATAACAGATAAAATGCGTACAGACGGTCATATCGTGCCTTAAATAATGCAAAACCTGTGTCAAGCACAGGTTAGGTCAAATTTGTTTATCACCATATTTATAATACTTGAACCGGTATGTATTTCATATCCATTATGAGGTCAAATAGTGATCAATCACAATATTTCAGAAGTGTCTAATCTTTACTTAGTTTCAATTGTTCTCTTCCTAATAGGTGAGATAGCAGGAAACTGTTTTTGTAGAAATGATTGAAAGAACAGTTCTTGATCTTCAGTCAGATGCTATTTGCTTTTAATCCTTCCCCCAAATGTCTTTTACTGAGACTAAAATTGTACATTGCAGCAATGCTGAGACTGTTTTCTGTTTGGTACCCTACATGTGCATAGCCAAGCTGCTTTGTGCTCTACTTCTGTCTGGGTAGACGCACGCACTGCACAAAAATAGGTCCAATGCTGTTGCTGGAGCTCAGTCAGTGCAATATGCTTTGTACTTTCAGGCAGAGACCGTGCTGTGATGGCCTCAGGAATAGCTTTATCACTAGAACATGAAGATATTTATTATAAGCTAACCAGTTAAAATCTCTTTGAGAATATGCTTGTTAAGTTTTAATAAGTATATGTAATATGTATGTGTAAAATATACTGTAACACATTCATTACAGCAGTATATAGTTGATAACTACTGATAATCACCCATGTAAGGGTAAACCATGAAAGGCCACTGTGTAAGTTAGTTCTTCCTAGGCTTCCTGTTGCTGCCTCTGTCTAATTTGACACGTACATGTATGTGAATTGTAACAGGGCAAACTATGTTTTCCTTTCTATTTGATGGCACAGCTCCACAGAGAGGACCCAGGGCTTGATGTAGAATTATGTCCTTGGGTACTCACACAATACAAAATTATGAACACTAAATTGCCTGCAGTCCTCCCTGTGTGTCTTGATACAGTGGAAAAAAGACTGTGTAGGGGAAGTAGGTAATTCTGTATAAAGAAGGACAGAAGCTTTAAGAACTGTTAGGATAAAAAGAGTGTAACTCTGGGGACCTCTGATAGTCTGAAGAGTTCAAGCAGTCAAACAGCAATGCTCAATGGGCAGTAGTACTCTATTAGTGTTTGATCGACATATCTTGATGAATGACTGCGTAGTGGAGTCATACTTCACTGGTATATCCAATGACTGATAGCGACTTTGTCATGACTGCATAAAGAAAATACAGTGACTTTATCTATTGGTGAGGGTTCTAGTCACCAGATTACAGAGAAATTATTAAAATGTTCAGTTTATAGGTGTGGAAGGTTTTGTGAGGCTAGACAGAAAGAGAAGACAGACTGGAAAGAGAAGACAGACTTATCAGTACACCCAGCCATGTTTTATGCTCAAGAGAAGGGTACCTGAAATCCCATCCACCTGATCACAATTGTATCTGTTCATCTGATAAAACTGATCTCTTTCTACATTTTTTTTCTTGCTCTGTTGATACCAGATTATTTTTCTGCACTGTCAATGATCTTTGATAGATAGCTTTAGAATCATTTGGAAATGTTAAAATATGATTCCTCACCTGTCTAACATTGCCAGTTATAACTCTAGAGTTATATACACCATCTTCATCACAAAATTGCTCCACCTTCAGAGACACAAAATGTGTAGTTGGCAGTATATTAACTACTGTGAAATAACTATTCTGATGAAAATCATACATGCAAATGCAATACTAGTAACAGTTACTGAATCAACTAAACAAAATCAATATAGCAGCTAATGGGAGAATTTTATTAATAGTTTCTGTCAAAAATGTGAGACTTCAAGCAGTTCCATTATCCTCACAATCTCCATCTTGATACTCCAGCTTATAGTTCATAAAAAATTGTCCCCAAAATAAATTTAATACTTCATGTGAGGTCTAAGGAAAAAATTTAGTCAGCACAGTGAGTTGTTCTGCTTTGTCAGCAGTTTTAAAGATGTCGTTTTTTGACTTGACTTAAAACTAAATCTTTTCTTATTATTATTATTCTTTTCTTTTAATTATTCTTTTTTGCACAGATCACCAAATGAAAAAAAAATAATAATAAAATAAAATAAATAAATCCATGTGTTCAGACCTAGTTAGTACTACAAACCAGACAGAAAAGCTGTTTCCATGAAGTGACTGCAAGAAGAATAAATTATCTTATTAATAAACTCAAGCAAAATGATGGAACACAAAAGCAACAAAAAGACATTCAATGATCAGCCTAATTTTTATGTAGCTGTAAATAAAACCAATATGAAAATGCTGCAGCAGCTGGTCAATAGAAACTGCTATTCCAAAAAGCTTGGGCAAAGCTTTCAATTTAAAAAGGTTAAGAAATTTCTTTAAATATCCAACTTTGATTTACCATATGTAAATGTGGCTTATCAATTATACCATAAAAATAATGGAGACAAAACATATATCACCTGTCCCATGTGAAGAAATGTATAGTTTTTATTTAGTCATTTATGTATTGCCTATTTCTTTGGGTTGTTTCTAGATAAAAATAAAGTTATTGGTGTCTTGGGATTTTTGGACCTGTAAAGTCCTGTGTGGTTTTAATTAATCTGTATTACTTAGAAGGTTCATTTTTAGATAATGTGTGCTTAATATTTTTATTAGGCATCCATAGATAGGAAGGCAAACGATTCTATTTTCCCTAAATGTCTTTTTCCTCCTTAGGAAATGTGGAGATGTAGCAGGTGTTATGAAAACTAGTGCATGTTCACCCATACACATCTTTTGATTAATATGAACTTCTACTAAGTGTTAACAGCTGTCTCTGATATCTTGTTCTGCCCAAGGGTGCCAGTGGTTGAAACATAAATTAGATGCTCTAGATCATAATGGCTTTTACTTTAGCCTTTAGCTCGGCGAGTCAAAGAAATAAATCTGAAAACATTACAGTCAGAGAAAGGGAGATCACTGAAGTGATTCTGTAAAGTAGAAATGAAATACAGTTTCAGTTACTCAGAGATTCTTAATGGCATCAACAGGCTCACTGGAGTGCTTACAGATCTCAGATATGCACTGTGGCAGAACATGTGCTATAAATACCTTTCAAGAAAACATGAAGATAAAGGTCATGCTATGTAGCAAACACTTAAAATCCAAAGCATTGCAGCTCAATTGCAGTCAGAGCCACAGTTTTCACACTGTTTGCTCTCACATATGTTTCCATTCTTAAAACGTGGAGGAAACTAACATTTCACTGTCTTGTTAACAATTTGCAGTAGAAGGAAAACCTATTCCTCCATTCCACCACTTTGAAATACACAAGTGGTGTGATGGCACATCAGTGCTCAGGAATGTGCATCTAACACAGGTAGGACAGTGGGAGATCATTGTTCCAGTAGGTATGAAGTCATTCCTCCTACTGACACCAGTGAGGAGGGGGGTGAGGCTCAGGGATGCATCCCGTGCATCACCGGCACCTTGAGGCTGGTGACTGCAAGGCCTCCAGTAACAACAGGAACCGGGGAGGGGGGAACGTGCCTTTGTGTGCATTTGTTTCCTGAGCACTCTGCTTGGATCCCTCTCTGGCATTTACATGATATTTTGAAGATATATTTGAGAATATATTGTTTTTAAAAGTGGTTTGGTTGAAAATGCATGTTTACACAAGGAGACTTTTTTTAGTGATGTAAGAGCGTTTGTGTCTCTTCTGGGGCTTGGCACAGTATCTAGTGAAAAGAGGCTGTTCCAGTTTGTTTCCAACTGATATTTGGTTCTATTGAAGTGCTTCTCTTATTCTGGAAATGTTTTCATGTATCTATGAGCATAGCTTAAAAAAACTAGTGCGTTCTGTTCTCTGATTTTCTAGGAGAAATATAGCTGAGAAAATTACAGATTTTTGGACGATGAGGGGATATGTAGGACACTGAAAGTGAGATGAAAATTAAATGCTTCTGATTTCTGAAATAGAACATGAAACTGAAAATTTGCATCCCTCTATAGCACTTCAGATGTAGCTGTAACTTTTACTGAATAGCACTTACTGAATCTATGAAACCTCCAGGTTTTTCAGGCCATGGAAACACTGTAGCTCTCTCAGTATGTCAGCTAAAATAATGCTAGAAATCACACCACACACTAATAACAAACCTCTTCTAAACTAGCTTTATTGCTGAGGTGTTCCTGATAATGAGCTTCATCTAAGTTCCTTTGAATGAAGGAACTGGAATTTGCAGCAACTGCTTAACTTCTGCAAATCATATGATGTATGATGTTCAGAAATCCTATATGTGGAGATTTAAATGTTCCTTTTCAGAGTTTCTAAATCAATATAAAAATCTAACAGCATAAACTTTTTTTCAGTAACCTGCTCCTTGCTCACAACCTTCCAAGTTAAAGATGCAAACGACCTGTGCAATTACAAATACCTTCACATGCAATTAAAGACTGTTTCTATTCATGTGCTCTATTCCCTGCTGTTACCCGATCACTCTGTTATGAACTATTTTCCGACTGGGAAGTGAACATCAATTCACCTTTCGTCTGGTGTAGCAGAAAGCTAATGAGTGTTATGAACGTCTGTTGTACACAGCCATGCAGTTTGGGAAGCGTAGCTCCCTGTCTTCTGGCTACTCCTCAGGAAATGAAAGAATCTTCCCTGACTGTTTAAAGTGAGTTGCTGCAAGGTATGCTGCTAGCATTTAAAATGTGCAACTTAAATATCTGTTCGTTATTTATGCTAAAACTGTACCTCTGAGGAATATTATTCATTTCATGCTGTCATCCTTCATTTTTCTGAACTATGTATGTTTAATTCAATTCCAAGTTAACCAAATTTTTCCTCTTTCAAACTATTCTTAAAACTGTTCAAGAGCAAAAACAGAATGAAAGAAGAATGAACAATTGTCTTGTAATGACTTATATTACACTAAAATCCCTTAATACATAGTACGTATAAGGGTTTTTTTAAACCCATCATGCAATTTCTTCATATAAATTAAAGATCATTCTTGAAAGTACTTGATGCTATTTGTGAGTCATGGACCCAGAGTACAAGAAGTACTCAATTTCAAGCAAATAGAATTCTAGACTTAGGGCTTATGGGCAAATTAGCCATTTTCTTAAGAAAAGTATCTACTATGATACGTGAAAACAGGAAGAACACAGACACACACACAAAAATAAAAAATAAAAAAAATGCCGGTAAGGACAACTACTTGGAAGAGAAAATTCAGTGAGGTTGAAACTGTGTCTCAAAAGAAGTCATGTAACCAATTCATCTGACTGGTATTGAGCCTGTTTAGTAGTCTGGTCATTTGTGTAGTGGGTAAGATCAGAAACAGATTCACACTGAACCACCTATCTCAGATGTGGTAGCATAAACCATTGTAGTGGGTTTACGTGGCAAGGTTTTGGTAGCAGGGGGCCATAGGGGTGGTTTCTGTGAGAAGGATCTAGAAGCTGCCCCATGTTTGGGAACGGCCCCACTGCTGACCAGAGGCGAGCCAATAAGCAATGTTGTTTTGCGCCTCTGTGAGAGCATATTTAAGACAGGGAAAAAAACGCTGCGCCACACAGCAGCTGGGAGAGTGAGAGGAGTGAGAAACAGCCTTGCAGGCACCAAGGTCAGTGAAGAAGGAGGGGGAGAGGTGCTCCAGGTGCCGGAGCAGAAGTCCCCTGCGGCCTGTGGTGAGGACCATGGTGAAGCAGGATGTCCCCCTGCAGCCCATGGAGTACCACGGTGGAGCAGGGTTCCACGCTGCAGCCCGTGGAGGAGACCACGGTGGAGCAGGTGGCCCTGCACCGATGGAGGCTGCCGCCTGTGGAAGACCCCTGCCAGAGCAGATTCCGGGCCGGACCTGTAGCCCGTGGAGAGGAGACCACGCAGGAGCAGGTGACCTGGCAGAAGATGCTGCCCGTGGGGGAGCCAGGTTGGAGCAGTTTTCTCCTGAGGGATGGACCCCGTGGTACGGACCCATATCTGGAGCAGTTCTGGAAGAGCTGCTGCCTGTGGGAAGCCCACATTGGATCAGTTCATCAAGGACTGCATCCCATGGGAGGGACCCCACAGCACAGGGGACGAGAGTGACCGAGAAGGAGCGGCAGCGAAGAAGTGCTGTAGACTGACCATAACCCCCATTCCCCCGTTCCCCTGCGCCGCTCAGGGGGAGGGAGGTGGAAGAGGGTGAATGGGGCGGAGGTGCTTTTGGTTTCTTTCCTTTGTTTCTCACTTCTCTAGCTTGTTAGTAATAAGCAATAAATCTTACAATCTCCCTATGCCGAGTCTGTTTTTTCTGTTACAATAATTACTGCATGATTTTCTCGTCCTTATCTCAACCTTTGAGCCCTTTTCATATTTTCTCCCCATGCCTCTTTGAGGAGGGGGAGTGAGAGAGCGGCTGTGGTGGAGCTCGGCTGCCCAATCGAGCGGAACTACGACAACCATCTTAGATGGAGAGTGATTTCCAGATGTTTTGCAAGCAAGTGAACAATTTTTTTCCTGCTTTGCTAATTTTCTGTAAAAGCTATCAATATGCCAACTGAAATGCACTAACAAAAAAATGTCCTGTGCTAACCATTAATTCCCACTAAGTACCCTTCGTTGACCATTACTGCTTAATAAAGGAGTCTTTTTCAAGATGAAATGCTCAGTCACTGTTGTCTTAGGGATAAGATATCTGTTCTCAATAGTCAAGCTACTCGCAAACAATAGTTCTGCCTTGATACATTGCTTATAGCTGAAGTATATGTAGGAGGACAAATATACTTGGTGTCTTGAGAAGTATCTTGGTGTCTTTTTCCTTTTTTTTTTTAATTCCCCTCTCCCCTCTCCCCCCCCTCCCCCCATTACTCAAGTAGCACATGGTTTGGAATGACAGATGACTCAGACTTATTATTATTTTTATGGGACCAAAACCCAAAGTAGTCTACTTTCTTATAAGGTATATCATACTGTGTGCTTAGTAACAGAAAATAAGACGACAGATTTGATACACCAGCTTCCTTTTCAGTACTTTCTGATTATCCACACTGAGTATAGTGGAGGGAATGCTGAATGCAGACTGTTGTGGATGTGACAAATTATTCAATTGTCCACACAAGTGGACGTGAATAAGGTACTGTACAGCACAAACAATATCCCTCTTCTACGGAAAGAAAGATTCAGCTTGATTCTTTAGCACCAACTTAGTGTGTAACTGATGGTAGGAGGTTTCTTTGCCTTCCTGACTTCTTATACAGCTATATATTTATAGAAGAAACCCTGGGATGAGTTTCTGCGGTCTGTTTTCTGTTAAACCTGATCACTGAATTGATTTTTTATGCACTTAATATTTGAGTCGGACTTAAAACCTGGAGCATTCCTAGTAAAGACTCGAAACTTAATGTTCTTTTGCACACTTTCCAGTTGAGTCAATTTCCAGATTCTCTGATTATGATAGTTACCAGATTGTGATCAACTGCATGAAGGAATCAGTATTGACCACGAAACCAGACAGTAATAAGTGAGATATTTTTTCTACCAAAGCATTTTCTTCCTCTACTCTGTGCTGTTGCATGCCTTCTCTTTGTCTGCTCTGGATCAGTATAACTAATCGTGTCTAGACTAATGAGCAGGTGCTGAATCTGCAGTTTCAGTAGTCTCCCAGAAGAAACTGGAAAAAGATGTTGCTCTAGATACTGTACAACAAATAGGCTGATTTACCCTGGCAAAACTTAACAGAAGGTATTTGTCAACCACTATTATGAGTCCCATAAAAGGTTTTCTGTTCATGGTGTACAAGCGATCAACAAAGCTGGAATGGTAACTTCACTTAGTCCTTCATCATATGCACAAGTTATTTCACAATCTGGCAAATTTTTGACTGATTTTACCTCATTATTAGTAATAAATGTCACTAAAACATAGTCTGCACTTATTTACCATAGTTGCCTTGGTTCAAAATTAAGAGCATAAGAATGCTGCACTACTTTACTGATATTGGAACATCAGTAGGAATCACTCTGCATTTAGATTTGGACAAAAAGCAATACTGAAATAAGTAAATGGTTTACACTTCACTAGCAAAGAAATTGGCTAATAAAAGTTTTCATCCTGTTAACATCTATGTTAGCATGTATATGAGAAATAGCTATTCCTACAATCTCTTTACAAATCAAAAGCCAAATGCTGTCACCCTGGAAGACATAATCACATTTGTTGCTGTTTAGAAAAAGAGTAATAATTTTTTTTTTTTGGTAAAAAGAACTGTAAATTCCGTGGTTTCCTTGTTGAAATCTCACCAAATGTACAGATCTCCAACAAACAAAACTTCTAGTAGCAGGTGTTATGCTGATGAGCATTTTGTAAAGTAATAAAATTTAGATAGAATGCCATATAGAATGTAGAACTTGCACCACTTACTGACACAATTCTTATTTGAACTAAACATTGAAGAAACGCCTTGCAAATACTAGACATATTTTGTACACATCTCTGATGCTTCAGGCAATCTTCATCATTGGCAGCTGAATTATCTAGAATATCTGAAAAGGCATATAATGTACATTATGGGGAGGGAGGTGAGAAAAAGTCTATAAAGCCTTTCGCTCACTATTTAAGGTCTGCTTTGCAGTTCTCTTGACAGATGCTAAGATAATGCTAATAACCTACTCTGGCATCTGATGATAAGAAGAGGGAGTTCAATTTAGTATACTGTATCAATAACTGCTGCTAAAATAACCTTTCCTAAGTTGTGTGCCACTCAGCTGAAGTCTGCTCTTCCCACACCACTGTGCATTACTGAATCTTGATATATGTGATCAGGATGACCTGAAAGCAAATAGCAGCATTGCAATATGATCCTTTTTGTGCCTCTGTTACCACACATGGCTAAGATTGTAATGTTGTCTAAACATTCCCGTGAGTAATCTGAATTTTTAACAGATTTACACATAGAAATAAGAAGGTTAGCTTTTTAAAGCATAAGACAGTCAATGACACCTGGTTCTTAAGCCTTAGTGGTCTTTTATGGAAAAACATCCTGGAAAGTTGGCAAAGCTGCTGAAGATTTGAATTACTGGCTGAGGTCATTCAAGGTCTCTTAATGGAAACAGATGTGATGTACCCTTAATTTGGATGTCAAGACTGAGGTCTGAAATATATAGCACTTAATAAACTGTTGTCAGGAGGATCCATGAATGAATGGGACTTGCCAGTAGCAACCTTCGGGGAGCTACTTTACACCTGCTGCTAATCATTCATACATGCAGAACAGACTTTAGAACAAGCCTGAGCAGGCGGATAAAGGACTTGATTTATTGACCTGTTTTTCCAGTCTTACTGAAGTGAATTATAAAGTCTTCAGTTATTAATCCCTGTAAATTAACTAGTATGGAAGCTGTTTGTATTTGGACTTTGAGATAGAGATGAAAGCATAAGAGCAGGTCTTTTACCTTTGAAGGGACCCTTATATTTTGTTGTCTGCATTAACTTAATGATTAATCTTTTGTTCAATTTCCTGTTTCAGTGGAGTCCAGGAAGGCGACTGGCAATTTAGCAGTACTGATACATGTGGGTGATTTAGAGCATGAGGCTGCAATGCTAATAACTGTTTCTATAGAACAAATACTATAAATAAACTGATACAAAACAAATTCAGTCTTAGATCCTTCAGGAATTGTCAGATGTGTTATGGGCACTGTAATTCAGGGACTGTTGATTGTTCAGTGTGAAAATAATCAGAAGACAAAAAATCCTCAGGAGAATAACTTCAGAAAACACAAAAATCACATATGAAACATGAAGCCAGTAGACTTCAGAGTTGCTTCTGTTCATCAAAGGCATATTTCTTTAACTGTATGAAGGCAGTATGAATTCAAGCAGTGCATTTCCCTCAGTAGTTGGAGTCCTGCTAATTTAGGATAAGGCTTTAATGGTATGTGTATGTTGCAAAGCAGTTATAAGGTATCAGTATCATATCTATTAATTGTCAGGCAGTTCAAGTGAAATAGTTTGAGTGGAGAATAAAATATAGAGGGCCAAACAAAGTCTGCTTTGATTACTAATTGACTGACATTGGTTGACATTGATCCATGTCTTGAACACAAGTCTTTGTCAGATATTTATAGGTTGCTCTCCTGAGCTAATGTTGTCAATTGCATGAAGCAATAAATAAGAAATAGCAAATAACAAAAAATAATAATAATTAACATAATTTTTCCATTTCCTGCTGCAGTCATCTTAATGGTATCTTTTGCAGGTACATTTTGATGAGGTCTCTATATACTGTCAAAAAAGGAAAGTCTGGACAATACGCTTTCATTCTGCTTGTCCTTTGTTGTCATCTCCTGTCTTAAATCTGAAAGAGAAAGCAACAAAGATGGTCACACTACTTAACAGTTCTATTTTGTTCAAGTCATCACAGCCAGAGTTATCCAAGTCGTCCGTTCTCATGCTGCTTGT